TAACTTGTTATTTCTCAACAACTTATTAGCCAAGGTTGAAGTTCCAGCTGATTTGTTTTCTTTTCGGTTGTCCAACAGCTTTATTTGGCGAATTTCTTTATTTGAATTTGAAATTTGCACATTTAATTTTTATTAATGATTTCATTTGGAAACTTAAACAAAAATTTATGATATATTTTCGTACGGTTTTAATTTGATATTAATTGCCTGCGTCAACTTTGAAACAAATCTAACAATCAGTTAATTTTGTCACGCCAACAGCAAGATGCTCGGCAGGTTTCCAATTTGGCAATATTTATTTTATTTATTTGTTTAAAATCTTGGCTTGTTTTTTTTTTCATTTTTTTTAAATTTATGTTTTATTAGCGCACTTTGGTGTAGCTTTTTCATTTTAAATATACTTTTTACTGTCATCTAGTCTGGCTTCGACTTGGAGCCGGTTTATTTTTTTTTGCTCTTGTTTTTGGGCGAGCGATCAACTTTTATATACCCTAAAGCCATTGAAAATGTGTAAAGAGGGTATCATGATTTTTCGGCAGTTGTGTGTAATAGGAAGAAGAAAGCAGCTTTGCCCACCTCCAGTACATTAAATCCTGGTCTTTAACTGAGTCTACTATCTGTTTATCCTTCTGCTCTCTAAAAACTCTAGACTTGATATTTCAAATATTTAATCTCGTATAGCAGAGTATGTATATTTTTTTCGACAATTCCTAACATTTTCATAATGTCTATAAAGCTTGATTTTGCTACCTGGTTTATTAAGCATAACTCGACAATTATAAAAGCTGGGTAAACTTGGCATGCTTTTTTATATATGCAATAATTTGTATATGCTATAAATACTACTGAAAAATATTGTAAAGCTATATTTATATATATATCTTAAGGAAATCTTTCCCATTTCTCACAAACTATAACATTTTTTTTTTAATTTTATATTTAAAGCTAAAGCCTTTAGTTTAGACAAACAATTGAATGTCATATTTAAGCCCTGAGGATAGGGCTATACGCACCGAAGTTAATTGGGAATATCTTGCCCAGACAAGGTGAGTTGTCAGGGGAAGAAGATGCACAGCCGCAGCATAAAATATCGAAGGATATTTGAATGTTTGCATTGTCTGCGTATAGGGTATCTCCTAGTCTGGACTGAGTAGAGCAATGTTGATTGCTTCCTTTTTTCACTCAGTTAACTGATTTGCTGCCCGGTTTGCTTGTGTGTGTGTGTGTGTTTTCGATATTGATTTTTCGTATTAAGCGCGTTTCTGCGTACCGTTTTTCAAGGCCAATAATCGAGGGGAGGGCACCGCGGCCAGTTGGGACAGGGGACAGGGGACAGGGAACAGAGTCGGGCTGGTCAAGCTGGTCAGCTAACAAGTTTTCTTGCTGTTGATCAATTAAATGAAATTTTAGCTGTTGTTGTTGTTGTTGTCGCTTTAATAGCGTTGAAATATGTGTGCAAAAGTCCAAGTGTCAACTGAGTCGCGGTTGGGGCGCCGCCAGCTGCTGCGGCTCAGCCCCATCTTTGGCCTAATCAATTGAGCTGCTGCAGATGGAGTCTGGTGAGATGATTAAGCCATGTTTGCACTTATGTAAGTGCTGTACGATAACGGGCGGCGGCCATAAGTCGTCTCAAGTGTCGTCATCTGGCGTTTCAACATTTTTCTTTCATTTTTCTTTTCATTTTTCTTTTTCACCTGTGCATTGTTGCCGGCGAGCAGTTCCGCCAATTAGCGACGCTTCCGCTGCGACGGACCAAAAAATTTCTCAGCTCTGGCTTTTCCTCTTAGTTTTTCTTGTTTGTTGTCGCCTAAGCCTGACGCCAAAGCCATTTTCTTTGATGAACAACGAAATTTGAAATTAAGCATAAATTGTGGGATTTGCTGCTGCAGTTGTTGTTGTTGTTGTTGTTGTTGTTGTGTTACGACAAATTAAATAATTTGCAATTTGCATAAATTAAGGGGCCATCAAACATTGCGCCCTCGGTTACGCGTCAAAAGCTTACAAATTAGTGCGATGTTTCGCAAATCAACGCCGCCAAACTTCCGAATTACCAAAAAACCAAAATACAAAATACAAACAACAAAATCCAAAACAAACTTTCCAAAAATGTCGCGCATGCGCACGGAATGCAAAAAAACAAAAAAAAAAAAAAAATACAGAAAGAAATAAACAAGGCCTTGCAGACCCAAACACAGACACAACAAATGCCCAAGTGTAGCTCAGCTTGAGGTTTTGGGATTTTTAGCCGTAGTATATTATGTAAGTTGAGAACCGCGCTCGCCAAGCAGCCAAGCAGCCAAACAGCCAACGAGCCAAGCAAATTGATGGCCCAGTCATGGCTGGGTCTCCCCCCTAAAGACCCCAAAGATAGACTCGGTTGCAGGTATTTTTCCAAGCGCTTCTCACGCTTGTCAGAAAATGTCAAAAGTGACGCTGCTGCACATTAAAGACAAGCAACTACAACTAGAGAAAAGTCAAGTACAACGAAGCGTGAATGCACTTTCAATAGAATTTGGAAAGGAACGAGTGAGAAGTCTAAGGTAATCTTCAGCTCGAATGAGAAGCAGTATGAGAGCTTGAATATAAAATGTAGGATTAATGGTCTCATAGATCCACAGATCATAATAGAATGACGGATAGGCAGACGGAAATGGTTATATATTTCAATACTTATATTTCTATTCTTTATATAGCTTTTATGTCTCTTAAATCACATGTTTATAAATATAGACAGACAGAGACACATATCAGTTTTTGTTTCTATACTTTATATATTTCTATTCTTTCTATACTATATGGTCCTAATCTACAAGGTAATCCTTGCCCCAGTGTGGCGTTACGGGCTTCAAGTTTACGGTATAGCTGCAAAAACACACCTGAACAAAATTCGCATCATTCAGGCCAAAACCCTGCGCAAAATAACTGGAGCCGAATGGTATATTCGAACACGAGACATTGCAAAGGACCTTAAGGTTACTATGATAGGAGACCTTATTAATCAACAAACAGCAAGTCACTTATGTAAGCTCCGCAACCACCCTAACGTCTTGGCAAGAAACCTGCTAAGGAGGCGAAGAAGGAGGCTTAAAAAGTGTTATCCTATAGACCTGGCCAAACGCCGACTATAATGAAGCAAAATTAACATGTACATATATATACACATTGTAAATATTTAACTTAAGCTTTCATTACCCAAAACTCACGCTGATAAAAGTTGCTAAAAGTGAAAAGTAACAGAAAATTAGCAAAAATAAAAGTAACTTAAACCATAAAAAAAAAAAAAAATATACTATATGGTCTCTTATACCGACCGAAATACAGATAGACGGTTAGACAGACGGTTCGGAGATGCTTTGCCTATTACCTTCATTTGTCCCAAGCCGCTTTACCTTTAGCCTCGGGCTGTTGTGTGTAGTTGCAAGCCACATTATATATTCGTGCAGCTCTTAGCTATACTCTACATTTAATAAGACGCGCAATTTTTTGCAGAAATTTCGACGCACGCTTAAAAGCTTTGCCTCTGACAATAGTTGCAGCAGGCAGGCAGGGGGGGGGGGGGGGGGGGGGACGGCATAATTGGGAGGGTGCAGGCAGTCAGGCGCCATGGTCAACGAAAAGGTGAAAGACAAAGAGCCAATGGACGGACCACATTGGCTCTGCTGTGTCATCTTGCAGGCGCCTCTTTGTTTGGCTGCCTGAAAATGAGTTTTTGGTTTCGTCGTAGCCTTCCCTCGCCTGGCTGGGATAGTTGCCTCGTCTGCCTGGCCGGGCTGACCTTTAACGTCGCCTTCACTTCGGCGAGCGGCAGCCAAAGAAAAATCTGCATATCATTCATTTTGTGGCAGGCAAAAGTTGGCTCTGAAGCTGGAGCTGGAGCCGGAGCTGGGATTGTTTCTGTTCCCGCTGCCTTAAAATTAGTTGGAAATGCGCGGGAGGCGAGAAATAATTTACGATTATTTGTCTGCTGCAAGACTTAAGACGATGTTAATCGTCGTGCTTGTACGCGCAGCCGGCAGCCATAAATTTCAAGAAAATGTCAAGGATTTGCCAGAAGAGAAAGAGATGCCCGCACAATAAAATGCAATCAGCGATCCGCTAATCGCTCAACCGGGTCGCGGCGCGGCTTGGAGGCCTTGTTGACACGTTAATTGGAGTTAGCCCAGACGAAAAAAAACACAAAACAACAACAACGAAAATCGTGAGCAAGGTCGCCTTTTAAAATGGTTTCTTTCTTTTACGCGCCGGGTTGTCAGTCAAATAAAAAGTCAAATAAATACAAATCAAAGGCAACAAATCAATTTGCATAAATGAATTCTATTGCTGATTGGATCTGCCATTGAATTATTGTCTTTTAATGGCATTTCAAGCGTTTGCTTTGTTTTGTTTAATTCTTTTTTGTTTCTTCCTGCTCTTGGCTAGTGCTGTGTTAATTTGACAGTCGCTGTCAAATGATTGATGTGAAGTTATGCGTATGAAATTGCTTTGAATGTGCCTTGCCTAAGAATTGCGCACAGAAAGTGGGTCAAGACAGCGTCTAGACATAGAGGTATATAGATTTATAGTAAGAAGAAGAACAAGATAATAGAAATATATAGCCCAATCTTGGTGGGCGCAATTTTTATTAGCTTCTATCTGCCGGCATCCGGCGCATGACTCAGGCCCAAAGCTCGCGTGGCTTCGACTAGCCCATGTAAATGGAGATACACATATGGAGGCTGCGGCTAAAGATTTTGTAATTTAAGTTAATGAATATCGCTGTGTTTGGCGCCAATTAAATGTTATTTCCAGTTTAATTTTTTATTTTATTTTTCTCTTTTTAGCCATGTGCCTGCTGCCATAAGCAAAAGCCGCGCTTCCTAATTGAAAAGCTGACAGCTAAATGGACGCGTAGCACGAGGCAAACTCTGTGCGTGTGAGAGAGAGAGAGAGAGAGAGAGAGAAGGCCAGACATCAGCGTGTGTTACCAAGAAAGCAGCCAAAACAAGCAGAGCTACCAAAATACTGGCCAAAATGTGCAGCTCCACAAAAATGGTTTACAGTTATAGAATTTTATGGCTTTCCGGCGTTTTTCTAGGTGAGTTGTGGCCCCAATAACAAGAGAGAGAGACGGCATAATTGAATGCCAAGTGCGTCGATTAGACGATAACTTTGTGGCCGAATCGATGGCACGCGTGAGCCACATAATAAGTATTAAAATAAGAGTAAGGCAATGAAAGAAGGAGTTTATTGAGCAAGCCGAAGATTGAATACCCTGGCAGACAAATGGCTGACAAGGTTTTGAAGTTCTCGGTTGCAAAAATATCAAGATAATTCGAAAAGGAGATAGAATTTCCGTCTTTGGGAATGGTTCATAATAGTAAAACTAATTGAATAAAATAATAAAAGCCGAGCTTGGTCAAGTTATTCCAAAAAGACGATATAGCTTTTCATGAAAGAAACTATATTTTCGACCGTTCCGATTTTTTTTTAAGCTTTAAGCCAATTGAATTCTTGGTTTAAAAATGTTCTCTATTTTTACACAACAAGTTGGTGTCTGTAGGAATATGTATACCCTTTACTGACTTCTATGTACTTACATTTTATTCATGTAAGTATTATAATTAATTATTATTTAATTGCAGCTCCGTTATTGCTGGTCGCTACCGATGCTCAGGAGCCAGCCAGTCCAGTATTTCAGAACCACAAGACGAAGGAATGGACGAATTTAGATAATATAACATTCTCCTTCGATTGTAAGCGGCGTTCAGTGGGCTTCTATGCGGACATGGAGTACAATTGTCAGGTGAGTGAAGCAGTTGTGCGAAAGAGAAAGAGAGCGAGAGACTCAGAGTTTCAGTGCTTTTATAGGTCCGCCTATAAGTATGCCACAGAAAGACGCATAAGGCCCGAGAGTCTGCAATCTATGAGCATGACTCTAAGATGTAAATATAGAATAAATATTATTTATACATTTTTTATTTCAGATATTTCACATGTGCGACGAGGAGGGCAATCGAATACCCCATTTGTGTGCAAATGAGACGAGCTTTAATCAGGAGTACAGAATATGTGATTGGGACTACAATTTCAACTGCACAGAATCGCCGGTGGGTTCAAGTTTATACTCAGTTTAAACAGAATATAGAAAATTATTCAAAATGCCATTTTGCCTTTCCCTTTAGAAATGGTTCTATCTGAACGAGCTGACGTATGCCACAGATCCGCCAGACGAAGACGACGAGGACTATTGAGTGCAAATAAATTAATATTTATTGTCTTTGAGCAGCGAAAACAACTAATTAAATTAAATGGAGCAGAAGTACGAACGGCGAAATGGAGAGAAATTTCCATGAAATATGTAAACTAATTTAAGAGATTTGTTGACGATTTTGTTGAGTTTCGTTTTGTACAATTGAATGTAGTCTAATTTCGAGAATCGACGGCGATTCTGCTGTGTCGCATGTAAATAATGTAAATAGAAGGCCGCCAAACTAACAGCATGCCGTAATGTAATTTACAAATAATTTTCTGTTGTTTGTAAGCAAATCATAAAAACAAAAAAACAAATAAATCGAAATTAAAGTGCGCCCATGAAATGCTCGCAAATAAGATAATTGTTTCGAATTGATGTGACAAAATGTTTTGAACCTATTAAACAAAATATCGAAAGAACATTAGACGTTTTTGTTTTCTGTATTTGGTGAATCGGAGTGGGAGTCACCGTCAGGCGACTCTAATGGGTAAACAACCCCCGATGAGTCAAGTTCAATGACGAAATAGAAAGGGTATCGAAAAAAAAGCTCAGAGTAGAAAAACACACTGGAAAAACAGGCAGGTGACAGTGCGTGAAATTGCAGCTAGCCGGGTTAACATTTTATAAAATGGCAATGGGCCGAACATTACAGAATTAGTCCACAACCTGAGCTCCAACTAACCACAACCAATTTAATATCTAGGCTGGTTTTATTTAATATAAATAATATAACAAACAAAATATATACGATGTCCCACAAATCCTGTTGCCTGCTGCTGCTTTTCAGCTGCCTCTTTGTGGTGAGTTTAATAGATCTAGGTTTGAGTTTCTTTAAATCTAACTTTACCTGACTTTACAGATGGCTACTGCTCAGTATTACACCCAATACAATCCCTACAACACGCCCAGCCCCACATTTTCCAGCCTGAACGGATATTATTATTCGACTACATCTCCTTACTATTATCCCACGGCAAGTACTTATCTGAATGATGTCCGCATACGCATTTGGCCATATGTCATTGGACAGTATCTGTATCCGACGTACTACAACAACAACTACTACAATCCCTATGCCTCATTGAGTACACCCAACTGGCAGAGCTACTATTCCAGTGTCTATCAAAATAACTGGGGTAAAAAGTAGTTTATTAACTTATCAAATAGTTGTATGTTGTTCAATAAAAGTTAAATAGATTTATGTCAATGATTTTCTAACTATGATTTGGGCTCATTAGGTACTTAGGTACTACATTAGGTACTAGCAAATTATTGAGGAAGAAATAAAAGAGCTCTATTTGGGAGATATTCTGTATCCAGTGCTAAGCTGACTTAACAAACATTCTAGCTTCCTCCTATATAAATATATATAAGCTCTCAGATCATGCATGGGCTATGCATCTAACCTTTGCCCCAAACAATGCATGGCAAATTCAATAAATGAGTTTCTTCGGGGTTTATAGTCTCATCATTAAGCACATTTTTGAAAATATGTATGGAGTTAAAAAGTGTGTGTATATACCACAGGGCATGTCTTTGCCCTGAATAATTTATAAATACCAAATATCAAGCAAATTAAATGTTCTGGGTATAGAAAATATATATCAAATATTAAAGCTCTTGCTTTTGTAATTTTCTGATCAAGAATATGGGTTCGGAAGTGATTGCCTCTGTCCGTTATATGCATTTTTACCCATTACCAAAGGCAATAAAAATATATCTGTTATGTTATTTTCAAACAATGTAAGTTGAACACCAAAGCCAAATCAGAAACTTTCCGGTCATTTGGTGCACTGTTACACGAGTAGAACATCAAAATGTAAATGATATAATCTAATGATGTCATTTTGATAACCAGCTAGGTAAGAGTCATGTCATAGGCGTGAAGACCGTTAGGAAATAGAGTCGAAAAGGTAATTTTGACGGCTTTTGACACATTTCGAGCAGACAAGCAGCGGCAGCAAGTCCCTTGGCATATGCAGACTTAGGCCCACAGACGATGTCGTTGACTTGTCGCGACTTGGGCACACCGCTGGCCATGACATTAGGTCTGGCTGTGCGTCGCGATTGCCACATGTGGCTAACGGATTTCACACACTGCCGCCAAGTTGTCAGTTGCCAGTTGGGTTGCATTATGTAATAGAAAATGGCTAAGACAAATATTTGGACTGCGCGACGAGCAATGAACTTGACATCCAAGTACAGCTGCACTTTGAGGTAATTATTAGCCAGCCAGCAGTTGCTTGACTTTTGACCCAGATTTGGCGATGTCTTTGGAAAGGTATAACTACCAAGCTTCGCCCTAAGCCAAGTTCTAGATAACTGTAAGTTCCTATTAATGGGTATCAATGGGGAATTATGTTATAGGAATAAAGAAAACAGATATGCTCTAGTATAAATAAGCTTATCAATACGCATTTTTATCATGCAAAGCAGTTGGTGGGAGAAGAGATCGAACCAAGTGAATGGGCTGCTCAATGGGAGGTAAATAGAGAGTGACAGATAGAAAGAGAGAGAGTGAGAGAGAGAGAGAGAGAGAGAGTGAGAGAGTTGGCTTGGAGAAAAAATGGGTCAAAACAAGCACAAAATAGCGGGTAAAAGGCAGCCGGCAAATATGATAGGGTTACACACAAAACAAGAAATGCGCAAGAGAAACCGAAATGGAAAGTCGAACTTTTGATGCCCTCTCTGTGCTTATTTAAATGCTGGATAATATATGGTAATATATGAATAGATAGACTGTCTAGGTATATGATATACATATAATATATGTTGAAGTCGAACAGATCGGACAACTGCATCATTTGCCTGCATTTGAATTTTTTAAGATATATAAATATATAAAAGAGTATCTCCTATAGGACACTAAGTAACCAAACCCAAGTGTGGCATATCTGAAGGGTATTTAAAGCTCGGTTTATTCTTGTTATATTCACATTTTGTTTGAAGAATCATCCATTTAACATTATAGATTTTGTAGCTCTTAATGTCATACTAGACAAAAGCAGATACTTAGTTGCTATGCCCCATTCTGTTGTTGGTGCCACATGTTGCAATGTAAATACACGAAACGTGAGAGCAACCTCTCCTACTCGAGCAGCAGGGCAATGGGTTGCGACGTGTTGGGTTTTGGGTGGCTTGGCTTTGGCGCTGGGTGGGTCAATCACGCCGATCCCCAATGGCTCGTCGCCGTCTGCCATCTGCTCGGCTGTTGTGACGTCAGTAGCAGCGAGTTTTTGTCACGTTCGCCAAACAGTTTTTGTGCTCTGGACATGGCACGACTATTCGTAATAGAGTCAACAAGAGCTGAGGAGGAGCTGGAGACGGCATTGAGTCGGCATTTTTGGTGCGGGTCTCATCTGACTGCTGCCGTTTATGGGAAAATTGTGAAGAAAGTGTTGAAAACGAAATTGTAACTGAGAGAAAGAGGAGAGAGAGAGAGAGAGAGAGAGAGAGAGTTGTAAAGCAGAAGCGATGGCCAAAGCCGAGACTGGTCGGGCGAGAGCAAAATCGCTTGGTCCAACTCCAAGTCCAAGTCCAAGTGCAGACTTTACCTGCTGGCTGAGATCGCGGCCAGGTGGCAGTCAACGGGCACATCTCAAGCACTGCAGTCGCGGAACAGAAGCAAACAATATCAAAAATTCAATACGAGTTGAAATCGCATCTCCCTGGCTTCTGTTTTAGCCAGAGTCAAGTCTTAACAATTTGCGTGTGTGCTGTGTGTTTTTGTTTGGCTTTTGTTGCGTGAAAGTCGTTGAAGCATTCAATTCGTTGCAGTTAGTTAATTCGCAGACGGAGTTCAATGAAATAATTAAGGATACGTCCAATATATAACAACAGCAAATTATTCAGAGAAACTGCAATATACAAGAGGCAGGCTCTATTATACCAGGCCAGGCAGCTGCTATCCAAAACCTATTATCATGCTGGTAAGTAAACAAGATTCGAATCGCAACTCAAGAGTTTATTCTCATGCCTAGCACGCGCTTCGTGGCCGCCTTACCTCAATTCCTGTGTGTTTTCCGCGCCAATGACAAAAGGGCCAACAATGTTGACGAAATGCTTTTAAATGGGGCCCAGTTCTGGCTATGTTTACAATGGTTTATTGTTGATTTTGGGCTTTGTTAACTTTCTATTGCCGGCCAGGTCTAAGTATCTTAAGTGCTCTGTTATTAAACGCGTTTTCGCTCGATTTTTTTTGTGTCATGAACTGTGACTTTAACTGCCGCGTTACATACTCCATTATTGCCATTAGATAATGCTCACTTGTAAATTTGTAATTACATTTACGTATCTGCCGTTGTCGCAGCCACGCGCCTTCATTGCATCAGCTGCTAACGATGCCGAAGCTGGTTTTATTATTAATTTTATTGTCATAGTTTTATGACCACTTGCCTGATGAGTTAGAGGGGATTTTTATATAATTTTATGTGTCTGTTTTTTGGGCGTGTGGCCGTCATAAATTCATAAGACTTCAGATAATGGTCAATAGTTAACAAGCCCACGCAAATATTCTAATTCCCATAAATCAAAAATAAAAAAAAAACAAGGGAAAGAAAATTTCATGAAGCTCATAAAAAGACCTGCCCACAAAAGTACATTCATTTGGCCCACAAAAAAAATATTTGTAATGAGTTTAATTTGTATTATTAAGACTTCATTAGGTTAATTTTTTTATTTTGTTCATTGTGTCACAGATTTGACAGTGATTCATGGAAATTTTAAATATGCCTACGGCAAAATATATGTATATACTAATTATAATTAAGTTTCGACTATTCCCATAGTTAAGCAAATTGTTGGCCGCATTAAATGTAAATAGAACAATTGAGTATTACACAAGAGAACGCAAGGGAAAGGCTTCAATATTCAACACTTTCCATTTTAGCAAACCAATTTGAGTCATCAGCGCACTTGAGAGTGCTAAAATTTTGGGTAAATGTAAAATAATTTCAGAAAAAAAACGGAACCCAACGTGGGGCAAACGTAAATTGTTTAACACCAATTCAACGAGATGCTTCTGGCGAAATTTTGCGGCTGGCTAAATACATATTTATATACAATAATTTTTTTGTATATATACAAAATAAGCAAGTCAAACAAATTTCACCTGGTCTCCTTTGAGGTTTATTGGTGAATTTTAATTTGGTTACATCGAATGACAAGATCAAGCGAGAAGCGATGTAAATTAAATTATGCTGCAGCTATAAATTTGTGTGCAGTCTGAAAAAGACACAAAGTGAAACTAAGCTGGAAAAACTACCTTCGCAGCAAATTAGTCCGTCTAAATATATGTAAATAAAGTTTTATTCGATTTGATGC